TTGGGTATTTTTCCTAAATTGCTTCTTGCTCAAGGGACTAAATTATAATAGAGTTTAAATGAAATAAGAGAAGAAATAATAAAGATGTTTCTGTCAGTTTAATGAATCGCTTACAGTATATGTAATGTTTCCTTAATTGCTTTTCTTTTGTAGTGTGTGACTGCTTGCGTGGAACGGGACCCGGTGTGCTCTATTTATACTTTTACACTTCAGGGAAGATTATATGAAGCTGAATTTTTTCTTCTGAGGGATATGTGTGTGTTTTCTTTTTCTTGCTTTCACGTGTGATTTATGTATGTTTATGGTCAATAAAGATCCTATGCAAGATGTCAAGTCGTTCTCTGTTGCCTCTTTACCTCATGTTTGCATGTAATCCTGTTTTTAATTGTTCAGTCTAAATCAATATCTTGCACATGCTTAATTTCAGTGCCTAAAATTAATATTTTGACAAAAAAAACCTGAGAACTTAGCAACTATATGCATTTTTTTTCTACCACCCATGAAACTAGGCCAATAAAAACTCTAATTATGATTACTATTTCTTTTTCATTTTAATAATTGAGAAATATTTTCAAACATTTAACAATAATAATACAAAAAAAGTCTCTACTGATCTGAAGTATTTTAAGAAATGTTAATTCATGTAATATTTATATTAAAAAATAACTGTTTTATATATTTTGACTACAGATTCATAAAACTAAGATGTTTGGATCGTTTTGCACGAGTAAGTTTGTAATGGATTTGGATTAGTAAAATAATTACAGATCAAAGCATTAATCAATGACTGCTAACATGAAGAGATAACTACATGTCAGATTACATATTTATATCCCAACAAAATCTTTGCAATATTATAATCAGGCTAAACCATGCAGTGTTCCTAGGGAATGTAAGAAAAATAGTCAGCCAACCCACTGGTGCGTCACACTGTTTTATATACTTCCTAACTCCTTCTTTACTCACATTTGCTGTTTGGTTGTTATTTTTAGTCCCTCCTTGATTTGCTTATTTAATCACGTATTATATTATTAATGATGAAGCAGTGTTGTCTGTAGGACACAATGCAGGCCAAGCAGTTTTACACGAACAGATTATTTCTTCAAGCTTCCTACTGGGTCGGTTTCTGAATTCCCTGTACCAGCGTTTGGCTGGTGACAGCTGCACTTAACTATGCACGCAGGCCTAAAATAGAGCTGCTGCTCCCAGCACACTCTAATCTGAGGTCTACCCACAGAACTGCCTTTATTCTGCCTGTACACCTGGTCTGAACCCAGCAAATGCTCTTCATAATTAGCATTTTCTCCTGAAGATTTCACAAAGTATGGTCACTGAAATGCCTAACAATAACATGCAGATTTAGCTTTTTCACTATTATGCTTAGCATACTAATATGGGTAAATTTGATGTTCAGTTCTTCGAATCACACAACTGACAGCATAGTTTTAGATTTTTCAGATATTAAATGTGTAGCATGGCTTGTTCTGGTATATTCGAATTGCTGTCATGATGCTTGACTACAAAGAGAACATGCAGACAGTATGTGAGTGAGAACATTTCTATCGGCAGGTTTCTTTTGGAGAGTAAATGTCAAACTCTGACTAGTAACTTTGACACTCTCTTATCAGTTACATATGCTAATAAGGCTGCATAAGACCTGCAGTGTGTACTGATATTCATTGCATTTTGGTAATGATTTCATTTTCTGTATTTCCAAATACAAATATCTGTTTGAATCAAGCCAGAAACACATCACACTAGAGACATTCACATGGCCAGATTTACTAGGATAAGATACTAATTCAGAAGGTGACTGCCACATACGTAACATTTCCATAATGACCCAAACAATACTACGAGTGTAAGGTTGGTTGGGCAATCTACTTTTTGTGTTTGTTACTTTTTCTTTTTTAAATAAATGTAAGTTTTAAAATATAATCACAACACTAAACCCTATTGCAAACTTTAGTAAATCACCTTGAAAGATTTAAATAAAAATCTCTACCATATATGTATATGTGTAATTTGTTTATTTATTTATTTTTATTATTATTATTTTATTTATTTATTTATTTATTTAAATTTTTTCCCCAAGCCTGTCTAGGGTAAGTTTTGGGTATTGGGGTTTGAATTATTGTAAAATCTTGAAAAAACTCAATACAGACATGTAAAAATCTCTACCATAAATTTAGCATGTGAAAGGAACATAAACATGCACATGACAACCGATCAGCTGCAAAAAAAACCTCATGCCTTTCAAGGCTAATGTTTTACTGCATGTTTTTAAATCATGACATTATAGTGTTTAAAGCCAAATGTTTGATTTTAAGGGAAAGAACTGATAAGGCGACTTAAAAGTAAAGATAAAAGAAGCACCCTAAATCATCAGAGTGGGAGCATCTAGATAAAAGTATAAATTACCAAATATAAAAGTCTAATTTGTTTTATTCTCTCTGGGCATATAGAGAGGAGACCTTGTCCTACAGGTGGTTTGTCAAGCCCACTAACCTGCAGAGCATACCAATATGTAAACATATGGCATGGTAAATATAGTAAACTTGCATAACTAATGATTGCATTGCGTATAATGAGCTTATTCCTATACAGTTATCTTTACAAAGGATTTACACTTCATAGTAAGAACTTTTAAGGGATGAAGGGTGTAGGGAAGCAAAAGAAAGACAAAAGAAAAAAAAAAAAGTGTTCCCTGTAATGCATTTTTTGGTCATATTGCATTGTGTCACATTCAACATGTGCAAAGAATTGCTGTAATGAAGAATATACATTGCCATTTAACCCTTTCAAATGTTTGATATACAGTAAAAGGGCCTTTCGAGGTGGCCAGATTTATGCACCAGATTTGTAACAACATTACAATACGATGACCATGATTGTTTTCATTCTTAAACATCATTCAGAGACAGCATTATCATGCTTGAATAAGTGAAATCTGCTTCTAATTGGTCAATCCAGGCAGGGTTCCATTTAGATTTGATCCTGTTCAATTCTTGATTCCATATGAGGAGTATAAATTTAACACTATACTACTACTAATACTCACATGCTATTTCTAAAAATAGATCATGAACACCAGTTTATAAACGTCAATTAACAAAAAGACACTGGTATGAAACAAAAATAACGTTATATGATGCGTAACAGTCCTCAGCATATGAGTACACCCCTCACAATCTCCCTTTTAAACTAATATTTTCTATAAGATGCTTTACAGTATTATATTTGTGCATTAGATTAGTTAGCACTGAAGCCAAATCTGAAGATAATCTAACAAAATAACTTGCAACACAGCAAAATCCTCTGTGTAAAATTTACTCAGTTCAAAAAGTATTTGGTCCGTCTTAAAATAAGGGCAACAGGTTGGTAAGAAGTAAAGCTGCTGTTTGTGGAGTTGCTTGATGATCCTCTGCTGAGATTTTGAGAGATTCAATGTATCATATTTCAGCTGATTTCATCTAAGGCTGTGACTGAAGTCAGTGGTAGTTTTGTGCTTCTCTTCTGTTTTTCTGCCCAATAACAGCAGGTGTTCATCATCAGTGCTCAATCATCACTTAATTCTTTCATTGTCTTATTAACTTGAGTAACTTTAACTGAATTTAGAGAGGGACCAAATACTATCTAAACTGAGTTCATTTTACTTAGCGGATTTTGCTGTGAATAATGGTTCAAAAATAAGTAGGCAAAATTTTTATGTTAGAGAAAAATATAAAATTAAAAAAAAAAACAATTTCAGAGAAAAAAAATATATATATACAGACGATTTAGTTCAAATGTTGTAGTTTGTCTTTATTTCAATATTTAGCATGAATATGAATGTGTTTATGTCTAAAGATGTTCTGTGACTAAAATATTATTTTAATAAATATATGTTTAATAAATATGTTCAAATGCACCAATATATTCACTGAGAAATGGATAAAAATATTTATTTACAAAGTGGGGTGTACTGATTAATGCTGCACTGTATATTAAATATATTAAAACAGAATCTACCTCTGTTTTAAAACCAACCAGAATATAGAACATTTCAAAAAACTCAGAATATGGAATACAGGATATAGGGGAAAAATACATTGATATAAAGGATTTTGAGAATCTTCCATTTACCCTGGTTATTAAAAACACGACGCTAGATCTTTTCCTTTCGAACAGAAAAACAGCACTTGTGAATTACAACGTTAAATGACAAATTGCATTCTTACAACTCTTTGTACATTTCTGCCACAACTGTTATATAAAAACCATATACCTTCAACTTCATTAAAATAATACTTCATAAAACTGACATTATAGCACAGATTCTAAGACCCTAATAATAAATAATTAAATACATAGACCGTTAAAAGCGATTCGTTACTTTACTTATAAAAGTGAGTAAACCCTATGTAACTTGGAACTGTTAGGTTGATATCATTTTTATATTAATGCACATAGTTCATCTACCTAATCACTTTAGGGCTCACTTGAAGTCAACTAATTGCTTTTAGTGTGCAAATAAATAATAATATTGATAAAGAAATCCACTCAGTCCTGCACTCACTTGCTAAGCAGAGTAGAGTACTATCATAACAACTGCGCCAAGTTATCTGAAACTACAAACAGGAATGGTCAGGGAGGGGGAGGTAAACACGGTTACATGACCCTCCCCTGTTATTTTATCTGTCTCAGATTCTCAAAATATTCCCCCCCTCATAACCCTCCTCCTACTCTCAAACACCCAGCGCTGGACTACAGGTTCACTGTTTGATTGTGAGAAAATGAGTGTTGGTGACATCTGGCAGAGCTTTCAAAGATCTTCGCAAACGTCTCTCCGTGTCACTTGTTATCGTAATCGCTCCGCCCGACCATCATTGTGTTATGTTAAGTAGCGAGTCTGCTTTCTGTCTGTGGCTCTTTCCTCCTTAGGTTTCAATTCCAAACATGGTTATCCTTCTCAGGGTCTCTACCCCCACCTCTCCCGCTCCATGTTTCCAAAGGTCTTCAGTCCAGTGTGGGACGGGGAACAGAAGCACAGACACTGGAGGGCTGATATTGTCAAATTTAAAAGGAAGAGTGGGTGTCGAAGGAAACTAAATTATGAAGCTTCTTTTATTCCAGCTGATTTTGGCCGTAGGAGCGACATTGACTTTAAGCAGCTGAAGGGAACAAGCTTTTTATATTCGACATTAGTTTGGCATTTTGTTTACAATCTTTTAAAAACTTGAATTATTTTTCCAGAATTTAATGACAGGCTTCTTATAATTCAGCGTTCCATTGAATTGGAGACAGCAGAGGCTCAAACATGAATAGCGGCGACTCTTCATTGATTGACGCTGTAATTTACAATCACACACTCTGCGATGGATGGACCAACAGCACTGAAGGTGCCATATACCATCTGGGCAACACCATTCTTTTTCTGGGCTATATGGGCGGTAGTGGGGCGTATGGGGCTCTGTACATCTTCAGTTTTCTGGCTCCAGCTTTCCTCTGTCTGGCTCTCTGGGGCTGGCTGACGATGTGCGGCCTGGATGTCTTCATCTGGAACCTGCTGCTGATGCTGCAGTGTTTGGCCCAGGTGTGTCATCTGATTTTTCGGCTGATGCGGGACGGTTTAGCTAACGAGGAGTTTTCTGCACTTTACACAGCGGTCTATCTGCCGCTGGATGTACCTGTGCAGGTGTTTAAGGAGATCACGGGGGCCGGAGAAAATAAAGTGCTTTCTCTAGCGGCCGAAGAAACGTATGCCGTAGAAGGGAAGACGCCTATTGATCAGCTGTCTTTCCTACTTTCTGGCAGGTGAGAAACAATTGAACACATGGTTCACTGGATTACTGGTTAATCTGAACTGTTGGTTTAATTTCTGTAAATATAAGCAATGTATCTAAATGTTAGACGTCCATAAGATTATCTTTTCTCATGTAATATATAAGACAGGACATTCAATCCTTGAGGGGACAACTGTTGTCACTCAAGACTGTGCGTCAAGGTCAATAAGAGCTATTCACACCAATAAATCATACCTATTGGCATTCATATCAATGTACAATATTGATTTTCTTTTATCATAAGCAAATATTATTATTATTATAAGCAAAATGGCAATATTTGTGCTAGCAGGTGTAGAACAAAAATGGAAGTATAAGTGACGTGCAGCATTATCAAAAAAAAAAAAAAATGTAGAGTCATTTGTGTGAATCAGATGTTAACTGGATGAGATCTCGTAATTGCGCTCAAAAATAAATGGAAGCTTAACAGGTTACAAGTTTGCAAACATTCGTCTCATCTCCAGTTTTTGAAAGATCATGGGATTTTAATTAAACATGCGGTAAATTGTTTAAAATTTAATTCCCTTGCACACATTGAATCAATGTGATTCACAATTTCAGTTCTGAGGTCCCACTTCCCAGAACGTTTCACATGTCAGACTATTCAACAAACTGACAGTACATCCACACAACAACGATACGGAGATACTAAAACAAATTTTCCTTGTGTGTTTTCTAAAAATTCTCTGTACAGACAACAGTGCTGTATTTTTTCAAACATAGATCCTTGAAAATGATTAAAAACACTGCATTATGCATGCCATTGCATGTATTAAGCAGCAAAATTACCTTCCTGTTGTCCATCATTGTTCTTTGGTGGACAAAGTCTTACTTATTCAACTGAACACATACAGTAATGACTCCTGAGAATCAAATCCAAGTTTGACTCTCTATTTTGATTGGGGTTGCAGCTGAAATCTGAATGGAAACTCTACAGAATCAGGACTAAAGATTTCAGCTCTAACCTGCAGGCTATGACTGCCTTAAAGATACACTGTAATAAATATGTGATCCCTCAAAACCCAAAGAGAGATCAGATCATGAGAATAATACCCTAGATCGCAGGGCAGCATAGATTACAGTTGGAACTACAGTGGTGTCTGACTACTGCATTCAAACTTACTGACTATCATTCTCAATTGAAAAATTAGTAAACACTTTCAATTTTGTCTGTCATGGTGCAGCTGGTGCCTTTCAAGCATGTCCCCAGTTTCATAAACCCACAAAATACAACTAGAGTCCTGCATCATTAATCCTAGCTTTGGTATTCATTGGCATCAGGTGGCCTGCTTTAAACACTGAACATTGACTAGGTTTACAAGGACGACAGAAATCAAATTATTCGCTTAATCTGAATATGACAATAATATTATTAGGGTGTTTGCATGAGTTGCTTTTCTGAATGTTCCTTTCATGATCCTGCTTTACATGTTATAACAAATAATTGGATGAAGGTCATTGCGTCATCACACTATCCAAATTTCCTCCAGAGTTCCTCCAGCTTTCACTTTCATTCGGGAAAATTTTATGCATGCCCCCATGACAAACGAGATATTGGATGAGAGTATGAACTGCTGGAAGAGTGTTGTTTCAATGGAATTTGATACCGCAAGCTGTATAAAAAAAACCCTCCGCATTTCACGATGGAAGTGTCTTTGGTCCTTCACGTACTCAGTATGTGCATAGAATAGTGTCGAAGAGCCGTGTGTGTATGGAATATAGTGTCACAAAATGCGTCGTAAATCCCACATAACGGTAATAGTTTGATTAAGGTGCATGTCTGTACTGGATGTCAATAATGAAACTAAAATCGGCATACTTCATGTCTTAATTTCATTTTTGTTTAGTTCAATTATGACCTTAATCAGATTAATCTAAAATCGCTGTTTACATGGTAGACTCTTAATCAGAGTATTGTCTTAATCGGATTAAAACTGGATTATTAATGTCCATGTAAACATACTTACTGATATTTTGCCAAATTAAATGCATCAACGCTAAGGTGACTGGACATCCAGCTAAGGGTATCTGGGAATTACAGGGAGGCATGGTCCGGGACAGTGAGTGAGTCGGCCCAAAGCAGACCACCAGCAATTATGCAGCAACTGAAAAGTGCTTTTCTGAGAATTAGTAAGTGCATCAAACAGGATCTTCTGCTTTCACAGGATTAGAGTGTCTTTGGAGGGCCAGTTTCTCCATTACATCTTCCCTCACCAGTTTCTTGACTCTCCAGAATGGGAGTCTTTAAGACCGGCAGAGGAGGGGAACTTTCAGGTACGACAATGTCTTTTAACCTGTCCCACTGAAAAAAGTTGTTCAGTTTTCATACAACCACACAAAAGGCATGTCATGAAAAGTGACCGATAACCCTTCTGACCTCAGGTGACACTAACCGCGGAGACGGACTGCCGCTACATCTCTTGGCGCAGACGTCGGCTTTACCTTCTGCTGTCTAAAGATCGTTACATTGCCCGACTTTTCTCAGTCATGCTCGGAAGTGACATCGCTGACAAACTGTACTCACTCAATGACAAGCTATTTGCAAAGAGCGGTGTGCGCCTTGACATTCGTCTGCCCAGTCTATACCATGTCCTTGCCCCTTCGCCACCAGGCAGTGAGGGTGGCAGCGCCAGTTCACCACCCAGGGGGAGCCTAGGAGACCCTACAGTCATAAAAGTTGATCCGGCACCATCTAATCCAGGCTCAGGCACAAGAAATCCCCAGCCGGACCAGGGAAAGAATCCTGTTCCCAAAAATCCACACCAGCATTGGTCCTCGGACACAGAGATGCCCTCCGGTGAGGACTCAACCAGCTTGATTCTGGAGGACTTTGCAGATATGACAGGCTCTCTAATGGACTATGGGCATGAGAGGGAATATTTGAAGTAAAGATATGGGTGTTAAAGCTAACACACACTTGGACACTTCTTAAATCACAATGTAAGTACACAAGTAAGGGTTGACGGGTGGGGGGGTTGGTGAAGACAGGGCTGATTTGCATGAACAAGGCACAAATTCACTAACTGGAGAATGAACTGCACAAACACTGACTGATTAAGAGAATGCAGAGTGATAAGTGTGCATGATAGTTTCTTACATTTTATGCTTCTTTTTGACCTGGATTAAGAGTCATATGACGAATTCTATGCAGGAAAGGATTGGCAATAATTTATGTAGATTAATAACTGTAAATTAAAATACTCTGAATACAAGGTTGTCCCCAAGCCATATTTAAAAGTTAAAAGGTAAAGTATTTTGATGAAGTTGAAGATAAGTCATATTGTATACTAATAATATTCATTTTAATCAAATAAAAATTAGTAAAATTTTATAATTAGGACTCATTATTAATTAGATATTATTAATTATTTTTACACTATTCATTTAAAACCATTCTTTTACAGTAGATTTACAGCTTAATAATGTCATATTAGAAATAATATTAGTTTAACAACAGTGTTTTACGTATAATAATTATATTAAAATTATACAGAATATGCTACAAGAATAATCTTTTAAATACTAAGTTTTCCAGACGACATCTTCAACAAAGTGCTTTATAATGAGATAAAAAATACAAAACAAACTGGCAATACTTAATAAATTAAAATTTACATTAATTGTTTAACAGTAGTGTCTTGTTAGTGTATTGATAAAGGGGGTGACACGGTGGCTCAGTGGTTAGCACTGTTGGCTCAAAACAAGAAGATTGCTGGTTTGATTCCCAGCTGGGCCAGTTGGCATTTCTGTGTGGAGTTTGCATGTTCTCCTCCTGGGTTTCCTCCGGGTGCTCCGGTTTCCCCCACATTCCAAAGACATGCGCTGTAGGTGAATTGAATAAACCAAATTGGCCAAAGTGTATGTGTAAATGCATTTGAGAGTGTTTGAATGTTTCCCAGTACTGGGTTGCAGCTGGAAGGGCATCCGCTGTGTAAAACATATGCTGAATAAGTTTAAGGTTTATTCCGCTGTGGTGACCCCTGATTATTAAAAGGATTAAGCAGAAGGAGAATGAATGAATGAATGAATGAATGAATGTATTGATGAGTTATTCACTGTTGCTCATGTTTCAATGCTGGTTTTATTTATTGACAAATACATGTTGTGCCAGAGGCTGAATGATAAACAAAGTGTTTTGGGACATCCAGAGATCCAAACATGCCAGGTCTGTTTATCCAGTGCTCCCCCCTCTCCAAATGCTTGGCTTTTGCAGCTAGGGCCAGATTGTGCTTTGCAGAGCACTGAATAGTGGGACAGCTGTGAGAGAAGCAGGGCGCTGCTGTCATTTGAGATATGACCTTCACATGCCAGTTTCCAAAGGAATGAGATTCATGAATCATATCCAGAAATACAGCCTGCACCACCGAAAACAATGCCAAAACTACTAGTTTTGAAACATGTAATTAGGTTTATGTTGTTTGTTTCAGTGTTCTCAATTATATTTTAATTTGTCACCTTTTCCATAAATCTAACAGAGGACGATCCTCCAGGACGTTTTCCACCTCGATACCAAAGAGGACGTGCCCCACTGGCCCCTAATGACACCCCAAAGCTGTAGAGACGACGAGTCAAGATGAATCACTTCTCCCATCAAAAACTGTTTGTTCTCATACGACCACACTCACACAGAACAGTTTAAGGATGTGCAAATGTACTGCTTTCAGGACAAAACCTCCCAAACCACTGTTTTTTCCGATAGATACTGTGTTATATATGATTCCACATTGCTGTGATTGATCAACATGGCTGATTTATGTTTATTTGCAATAGTGTGTCCTTTGTAGGGAAGTCTGTTTGGAATAACTGAGACAAAGTTTAAATACTACAAATTAAAAAATTAACACTTCAGCAGTCGAAAGATATTAAATTGATAGAGATTTATTACATAAGTGTGAGTTTAATCATATTAGAATGCTAGTAAATGTTTCAGAATCTTGTTATTGAGACTGACCATTTTGTGAAAATGTATTTTCACGGGGCCAACTGTTAAGTGCTGGGTTAAAATGTGACTTGATATTCCTCTTAAGATGCCACCATAAAGCAGTAATTAGCACCGTATTAGGTATGCAGTTACAAACACTAATGAGGGTAATAAAATGTTGCTTGAATGTTGTTGTACCACTTCAAATGATCAAACATCAGTACTTTCAGTACACATATGAACACACAGAATAGCTATGGTATGGTAAATGTCTTTTATAATACACAATATTTCTCTTGTTGATTGTTATCTAACAAAACTGAACAGAAAATTTGCATTAAAGGGACAGTTCACCCAAAAAGGGAATTTACTGCCCATCAAGTTGTTCCAGACCTTTATAAGTGTCTTTTCTTGATTGAATACACAAGAAGAGATTTTGAAAAATGTTAGAAACTGGTTGCTGTTGAAGTCACTACCAATGAAAGTCAATTTTAATTTCAGGGTTTCAAAATCTCTCTTGCTCTCAGTAAAAGTCAGAATCTCAAACAGGCCTGAAAAAGTGAGTAAATGGTAACAGAACTTTTATTTTTGGGTGAACTCTCTCTTTAAATAAAACTGATTTTCTCAGGAAGAGCTCACAGATAAAACAAAAGTATCAGAAATCATATTTGATATTATATTAGGGCTAAATGTGTCATTTTGTGAAAACACAATAAATAAATCTAACACTGAATCATTTCAGTCCCCTTGTATCCTGTTTAAGTCTTTGTTGCAGAACTTTAATGCTTCCCAGCCCAAGTGTAAGTGTGTGACCTTTGCTTAGAGTTTAACTAATTTAAGACTTGAAAAGCTGGTTAATGCAGATGCTCTTCAAAGCAGATTTTATGCTGTTGTTTTTTTAATTTAGCACACCTGTACAAAGTCATGTGACCATGGTACTCCACGTCCAATATGAATGTTCTTTACACATAGTGGATCCATCCCTCTGCAAAGAGAAGAGGACAGATGCTGTTATTTAGTAAAGTATGCAAAGATTTACCAACACATCAACATCAATTCTATGGAAATAGCCCTATTTGTACAACTATGGAAAAATTAAGAGACCCCTTGAAAGTTTCACTGGATTTACAATTGAATAGCTTTGTAAGAAATGGAATTTTGGTTTTATTTTTTAATTTACTCATGACATTCTCCCAGGTTTGAAATAAAAAAAAATGATTTGTTTATATTTCTTACTAGAAAGCTGAATCCAAAATGTTGTAACTTCAGAAATGTCAAGTTAAAAATATTTGGTGGAATAACCCAAATTGTTTTAACTAAAAAAAGAGAATATTTTTATTTGACACTTGAAAGAAATATATATTTAAATTATATATAAATGTATTCATAGAAAAAAGCTAACTGTATTCAAATTATAGGTGGGCATAGATTATTTTTTTATCTAGATTAATATCACTGTAATCTTGGAATTAATCTAGATAAAATGGCTCATTTGGATTCTGCCGAAGGCATTCAGAATACATGTGCTACCTAAATAATGACTAAAAGTAAGTCTTTGAGAACGGGTTTCTCAAGCCTGGTGGCGAATTAGACCAGGGGCTCATCTCCTGTTTCCAAAATGCATCACAAACTGCTTGAGAAACTGTTCTACTATGATAATTGGTGATGAAAATAAATGATGTTCAATAAGATGTACTTGTGTTTACTAACTGTTTATTCAGTTAAACATGAATTTTGAACTGTAGGAATACAAAAGCTTGAAACAGCGATTTTGATTACCTTAATATGACTAAAGTCATAACTGAACTAAACAGAAATGTAACTAAGACGTGTGGAGTATGTATATATTAGTGGCATTATTGAGGTAAACACCGCAATCAAACTATTACCGTCTTACCGTATTACGTATATTCGGTCAGGTATACATACATAATCCATGCTAAAATATCAAGGTGAAAGTCATCATAGCTTGCGTAGATTAGACCCAGCTTCCAACCCAACTTTGAGAACAGATTAACGGCTATATTTTTTTAAAATCGCCCTATAAGAGTCATACGTTAACGCAGCACATTTACGCCAATAACGGCCCACCACTAATTAATATCTATACTTAATAAATCCTGTAAATCCAAAGAAACTGTAATATATGAAACACTTGATCAGAATTAGTTCAGAGGAATTGTACCTGGTTTGAGGGATTTCAGAGATGCAAATATACTCAAAATGAATGTCTCCTTGTCTGTAGAATCGACCTCCAGTGTTTATCAGCTGCATTGAGTCAATTTTACACAGCTGCTCAGGGTGTGCAGCCACCGTTTTATACCTTGTTTCGTCTGTATATCTGAAATATTCATGTACAAACTTATTCATGCATGTGACTTGAAGACTTGGTTGAATGTGTAATGAATGAACACAAACCAAAACTGGCAAAACTCAAAACACAATACCCACAGTTTGAGATTGAGCTCCGTCTCAGGATGTCCAATGGATTTCAGAATGAGCTGAACCTCTGCAGTTTTGTCTAAACGGGAAACGTTTAACTCCACAAGGATGTGATGTGCTGAAAAAAAAAGGTGAATTACTAGGTGCTGTATTTTTAAAGTGACCCTATTATGGGTTTTTGAAAATGAACTAGTGGCTATGTGAAACTATAGTTTGAAAGAATAAAGGTTGGTGATGCAGTGGCCCAGTATGTAGTGCTGTCAGCTCATGACAAGAAGGTCGCTGGTTCGAGTCTCGGCTGGGTCAGTTGGCGTTTCTGTGTGGAGTTTGCATGTTCTCCCTGCCTTTGCATGGGTTTCCTCCGGGTGCTCCGGTTTCCCCCACAGTCCAAAGACATGCAGTACAGGTAAATTGGGTAGGCTAAATTATCCGTAGTGTATGAGAGTGTGTGTGAATAAGTGTGCGTGGATGTTTCCCAGAGATGGGTTGCGGCTGGAAGAGCATTCGCTGCGTAAAAACGTGCTGGATAAGTTGGCGGTTAATTCCACTGTGGCGACCCCAGATTAATAAAGGGACTAAGCCAACAAGAAAATGAATGAATGAATGAATGAATGAATGAATGAATGAATGAACGAACGAATGAATGAATAAAGGCTTTCATGAGTGTGAACGTTCAATCATTTTCTCCCTGGTAAAAATATTCTACACAAAAATCAGCCAACAGGTTTTAGAAAACTAAGAAGTCAGGGAAGTTCTCTTTTAGTTTCATTACAAAACGTTTACAAATTATCAATACAAGCCTGAATATGTAACAATTTCTATATACAGTGTATACAATTTTTAACAAAGTGTGGACCCGATTTTTAATATGACATTAAGTTCAAACTCGTACCCACCACAGAATGGACCTGAAGCAGTGGTCAGCAGATAAACCTTCTCTTGATTTGGCAGGGGAGTCGCTGTTATCCCACTGTTCTTCAACAAGCCTAAACAGACACATTTTAGAAACAGGTGGAAAATGAGCACACTTGAGCATCAAAGACTTGTGTCGTCAATCACTAAACAATGTTATCCCTGTGTTGCATAATCAGCCTCCATTTATACTTTTTCCACAGATGGAACAAAGCACATAAGTACACACACACAATCACACACGCACAAAAAACTCAAGCCTGACAGCACACCTTAAAAAACTAGAACCTCAAGGTTATAAACATGCAAGGTTAAATTGAAATGCTAAACCCAGATTCAGTATTCTTCCCATTTTCATCCTCTTTATGCAGAGATTTTTAAACCACAAAAATTTAAAGATTTGTGCTATAAGGGTTAAAAAAATCCTTTGCATATTTTAAATTAATTAATTAATTTCAAAAGTTTCTCATAAATTTAAAGGCCACATTATGTTTTTTTTTCATTTTCTATGTAATATTGCTTATTGAACATGAAAAAAGTCTTTGACTGTCTCTGTTGTCCTGTTTTCTTCCAGAAATGTCCATGTCCATGTATCCCCAATTTAAATAATTATTAGCCAACGCATGCCCAAGGAAATTGTGTTGCTTGTGTGTGTGTGTGTGTGTGTGTGTGTGTGTGTGTGTGTGTGTGTGTGTCCGTCCGTGTGTCCTATACATTCTAAATACTAAGTGTTTCAAACAAAAAAGAGACAAATTAAATGTATAAGTATCTAAAAAATGACTCATGCCTTAAATATCATAGATAAAACCAACAATATGTGAACTGTGAAGGTGAGTGGCTTTAACATGACAACATCCAGTTGACCGTCAGCTTGATGTGTAACAGACTTAAAACACAATCTTAAAAAGACACAGGATTTTGAAGAGCAGCAGCTCATTTGCATTTAAAAACCCCACAAACAGTCGCTGCCAAAGGCTACGGATTTGCACTTCGGGGATCCCAAGTTTTGAGTCATGGCTTGAGGACCTTTTCTGATCCAATCCCTGTCTCTCCAACTATGCATCCTTTCTAAATACTGCCCTAATAGAGGCAAAACCACAAAAAAATCGTACAAATGAAAACGTCACTTTTTTCCCTACTACCCATTGACAGCGTGGTAAATCAAATGATCCACAAAGTAATTGAACTAAAACCTTAAATAATTATGTGGACACCTTTGATTTATAATATGATAAGGGTCAAATATGACCCATTCAGACACTTTTTAAAATATATATTTTAGAAGTTCATTAAAGGGATAGCTTACCCCCCCACCAAAAAAAAAAAAACAAATTCATTCACCCTTGGAAGAAAAAACTTATGAGTATGCTGAAGATCTCAATGAAGAAGATTATTCAGTATAGCAGTCTCAAAGTACCAGCAGTACCCTGGGTTCATTCTTAACATTCTTAATTAAATGCATTTATTTTACACAGTTTTAGTTTACTACCTTTTCAATGTAAATGAAGTTGCTCCTATATAACAGCTGTGCTCTGTATGTTAATGCAATTTCGACACCCCATTGTCTCAGATGGTTTTCAGTAGGCTATCCCTCACCAATCCCTATTCTATGATTGGTAACCATTTGTTTAAGATGTGATCATCTCATATAATGCAGAGACAACAAACTGTTGACTTGTCTTCTCGACCATAATTCAGCCCTTTTAAGAAATGAACATCAACACACAATTTAGAGTGGACGTTTGGTTAAGGCACACTAATTTCTTACACCCTCCACCTCTTCTAAATCAGAGTTTCTTTTTTCTGTTCACAAAAGAAGATATTTTGAAAAAAAATGTGAGAACTGGTAGCCACTGACTTCCATCTTATTTGTTTCCTATTATGAATGTCAATGGCTACACATGGTTTCAACATTCTTCAAAATCTGATCTTTTTGAACAGAAAAACAAAAGACTCACAGCGGTGAATACATTTTCTATCCCTTTTACAGACTTGTATATCACAGATTTTGCCTTTAAACACTTTTAAAGATTTTTTTTCTTTAAATATTTCAGATTATTCAGATTACCTATCTGTGGGCACGTGCCATTGAAGGGGTCGTCACAGGTGATGCATTTTCCTGCCAGAAACTCCTCATAACCGGAGCAGGGAAAACCAATGAGTGGACAGGAGCCGTTCAGGGCACTCATGTAGACGTGCAGAGCCCTCATGTGGTCACAAATGACATACCCATACACTGGAAAGTAGATGAAAACTGACAACAAAGACAGATTCTCAGGTAGCATGACGCTACTGTTTGTTTGATTCAACTTAATCTCTCAGCATTTTGTCAGCATTTCGTCCACTTACTTGATGCAAACCTTGAGCGAGCACATCCAGCTTGATCCATTCCTCCATTTAAGAAGAAGTCCACATGCCCAACAGGAATGGATATCCCAAAATCTGGAGAAAGAGCAAGTTTTCAGTTCAAGGTGTGCATGATTTATAGAAGCTTACAGTCCCTTAAATCCAAAGTGTTTGCTTTTTCTTGAACTTCAGAATTTATATCTAACAATTCTGACTTTTCTTCTTAGAACTGCAAGTTGGAACAGCAAGTCTATAAAGGACAAAAGGCTTATGGAGAAAAAAAGGCAAAACTGATAAGAAAACAATTTTTTCTCAATGGTTATAAGGAAAAAAGTCAAAACTGATAAGCTTTTTTTCTCAATTTCTGGGGAAAAATCAGGATCATGTGACAAACTTAAATGCGAGACATAAAAATAATTTTTATACATAAAAAACTGATGGGGGGGGGGTCTGATATACTCTTACAGTCAGAATCAGTGTGAATGGCCTCAACAAATAAGGCATCAGATGAATCCAAACGGTCAAACGGATCAGCACTCTTAAACATCGGGCCTGCTGGATCCAAACCTAAAGACCAAAAAATTAAAACATAGGCACTTTCATGATTTCACTAAAACACATTAATTTAGAACAAACAAAAAATGTCTTGTTTTCTTGCTACGGCTGTGTGGTGGAACAATTTGTCATTGTTTATCTGGAGTGCTTTCGTGGCCTTTGCTTTTGTATGAAAGCCTCATTCAGTGTGGTGCTGAGCTGGTCTTTGTTCTACTCATAAATCAAGCATCTTCAAAGTTCTCATCAGGACAAAATTAACAGGACACATGCTCTTATGACATGCTTTATCATTACATAGAGTACCATCTGAAGAAAACCCAATGTGCATTATTCTTTCATTCATTTACCTTCAGCTTAGTTCCTTATTTATCAAGGGTCACCACAGCAGAACGAACCGCCAACTATTCCGGCATATGTGTAATGCAGCGGATGCCCTTCTAGCCACAACCTAGTACTGGGAAACACCTATACACTCTCATATTCACACGCACTCATACACTTAAGGACGATTTTGTTTACCCAAATCAACTATAGCTCATGTCTTTGGACTGTGGGTGAAACCAGAGCGCCCGGAGGAAACCCACGCAAACACAAGGAGAGCATGAAAACTTCACTCCCTAATGTGGATTACTGTGTTTGTAAATATTAAACCGCTACAAAAGTAAAAAAAAAAAAAAAAAGTCTACTTAATTTAAACAAATGGGACAGAATTATTGTTGTATAGAAGAAGATACAATTTCAGAGAAATAATATTGTTTTAAGTAATAATTAATCAATTGCCTATGAAAATTTAACAGGATTAAAACAGATATTGAACAATCCTAAAAAAGTGGTATCCTAGTGGTCATTCTTAAATTCTTAAAAGGTTGTTAAATTGAACAGGTTTTATGGTTTCAATTAACTGAACCTAATTTTGATCAAACTAAATGGACTTAAATAATTAAAACGGAGCAGAACATTTTAAACAGTAAAAGAAAATAAACACATTCCACCTTTAGTTATAACATTACCTGTGATTCGACCCAGCTTGCCATGAAATAAGGTCCCCACGAATCCAGACACGTGTGCTCCAAGACTCACACCAATAAAGTGAAATGATTCCAGCGTGCTTCCATATTTCTACAAAGAAAAAAAAGTTACTCTCCACCATGAACTTTCTAGGCATTTACTGTGAGTTCGCTGCGCAGAGGAGACTCTGCAAGCACTGTGCTTAGTATTTGCATGTCATGATTTTGCCAAGTATGATGTGATCCTGGATTAACATCTTTGTTGATCCTGGAACATATTTTTTGTTACTTATTCCTTACCTCTAAACCCAGCCATAACTGTAAATTATTCCCAAAATCAGAGGGGATTAGTAGTTGGATAACACTCATGTAGAAGTGCCTAAACCTAACCGTAAGCTTAAACTTAACATAAAGGGTAAACATATCCCTTAATTCTGATTGGCTGATTTGAATGTTGTTAAAAGACCAACATAGATGTTAGTCCAGGAATATGTCCAAATCATGACAATTAATGAATCTTGAACATAAAACAAAAATCTTTACCGTAAGCTGATTAATAAGCACCGATATCTGAATTGCCACTTCCTTGTAGTTCTCCACCACCAAGTTATAAGCAAAGGAGGCTCCATAGACCCAGTCCACCACCAGAACATTCACATCCTCTTCTCTCAGTAGAGCCTGAGCTAAACCACTCACCCAGGACGGTTTACTGCCTAGAGCCCTGAAAACACAGTGCAGAAAGAGGAACTGGTTTGCTAATTCTAAACACTGCTGACCGTATGCTTCACCTGAGAGAGAGTTTTTGGTTGTTTTTTTTAATGGTGAAACCAGATGAAATTTACAATACTGTTTAAAAATATTTTTTCTACACATTTTCTATATAACAATAAAAAGCAAAGACTGCAAATAAATAATCCATACGATAAAAAGATCATTTTTTTAAGTTTTACTTTAGTACATGTTTGAAGGATTAATGCTTCACCTGTATCCATGAACAATGACTTTGGTGGGCAGTGACGAGTTGAAGTAAGCAGTGTGTTTCTGGGTGTGGTTAAGGCAGTCTTGTGTGAACAGACTGGCACAGTTGGCATTCTTTCGGGTCAACAGAAGGTACTAAACCTGAAGCTTGGTGGCCTGTCTGTATTCCAGCCAGGTGGTGTTGTTGAAGTCTGCACACTTGCTTGCAGACGCTTCCTCATCATCACCTGTTGAACGCATGGAAATGATAACATTTAACAAAAACAGCACATGAATAATCATCCACTAATAACCAAATGAATATTTGTTTTATATGAACCAATGATGAGTTGATGCATACTAATCAAAAGTTTGAGTAATATGTATTCATGTGAAAATAACCTCAACCTGCTATTTATTATATTTGGGGTAAATTTCACACATGAATTCATTTGTTTTCATATCGCAACTAAGGTTAATTCTTTATTAGTACACGTTTAAACTCATCATTAGTTCATATTGAAGTAATTTTTAATTTATGTATTAGTGCATGATTATTTATGTACTGTTATTGTAAAATGTTGCCTTTAGAAATTGGGGCAGAAGCTCATGAGTATGCCAGAAATTAATAAAGAGGGTGATACTCTTAAAAATGTAATGACAACTTTAAAAATATAATCCAATAAAAGACGGCTATTTTACAAGGTAAAACTATTTAGCATTGTTACTCATTTACTATTTTGGAACAAATATATGAAGCCTTGATGAGCAGAAGGAGCTTCTGCCAAGGCTATGTTTATATGATAAAAAAACTATAGTGAAATAATATTGCATTGCCTTTTTGATTATTTATTTAAAAACCAAATTAGAATAATTTATTTAGTATCATGTGGTTTTAAAAACTGATTAACATTTGGCTTTTTCTGTCACATTAAATTTAATGATGAAAATAGAAAACAGTTCTTTATTTAACAATATTTCCCAGAATTACCATTTTCATTTAAGTGCATTTTGGTTTGATGTGATAACAGGGTTTCTGCAGTTTCTTAAAGTCAAATTTAAGCCTTTTTAAGACCATTACGGATTACAATTTAGCCTTATTTAGGGCTAAACACAAAGGATTTTTTTCTAATGGCTCAGTTACTTCTGTAAATAGCTTTTGTATTAATGAAAGATCATGTAAAGGAATGTGTTGCTTTAGTTTTCCTTCTCTGCTAAGGGAATTGAATTAGGAGAATTTGCTGTAAACTTTTCAAACAGTTGTTGTGAATTGCATCTCTTTATATATAAGTTTAGAACATAAGTTTGTTCTGTCGAAAATACAATTATCTTAAAGGGCTAATAATTTTGTCCCTAAAATATTTATGCAAAAAAATAAAAAATAAAAACTGCTTTCATTCTAGCCAAAATAAAACAAATAAGACTTTCTTCAGAAAAAAAAAAATGATCAGACATACTGTGAAAATTTTTTGCTCTGTTAAATATAATTTAGCAAATATTTAAAAAAGAAAAACAATTCAAAGGGGGGCTATATATATATATATGTGTGTGTGTGTATGTATGTATAAAGTTTTGAGATGGATTAGTGGTGGTTAAGTGCTGGCCTGATTGGATAGCTTTACTTACATTGGAAAATTAAGACCTGTTTAAAATGACTGAAGACCTACGCAACCATTTAAGACTTTTTAAGGCCTAAAATTTAGTTTTTGAAATTTTAGACATTTTAAGACCTCGCAGAAACTCTGGATAACAGCTTACAATAGAACTTCCATAACTGCAGTTTTATTTTGTGTAATAATAAAAGAAAATAAACTTACCCAGAGCTGAAGTGACACACACCGACAAATAAACAAATGCCTTGATCCATTTCCAAGCCATGATTTTCTTGATCAACTGTATGAAATCTGATGTTTCTTGTTCGGGTGCAAAATCATTCTTACCAAATATTTTGCTCCTGTTCTTCAACTAGAAAACCTAAGAAGCCTGGAATCCACTTATTAGCCACCAAAATCTGTTACACAATGCCTGGTTATGAGAAAAATGCAACAATATCCGATTAAGCAAGATGAAGGGCCTTTCCTTCCATTCCCGGTGTGCTTTTATTGACCATGTCAGCATGTGGAGACGTGGGGGAAATTAATTTCCAGCATCCACCCTGTCATGGCTTATGTAGCCAGTGGAGCTAAGCTTTAACTACAATGAAAAACAAATGGTTTGTCCGCTGCTCTGCAGCTGGTTGAGAGCCTATGACCTCATAGATGAAACGTTTAATTGTTTGTCCAGAGGCTGGACTTTGCCCACTTTAGCACAGCGTCCAGCCAATGCTCCCCCAGAAGAGGTTTAACTTGACTGAAAAGAAATGAACACAATCAATTGGCCCAAAATTATCATGATGAGCTCTTTGTTCAGAGTACTCCTTGACACTGAGGTATCTTCTGCAGACAAACTTCACAGGAATAAGTTACTCCTTCCAAACTTTTACTGTTTATAAAAAGCTTAAATACAATACAGGGCTAGCCTGTGACATTTTGAAGTATTCAGGCACAGTAAAATATATTTATTATGGATTAGTGTAAAGACCTTTTGTCTTTTGTATAATGTACACACGGTGTTGTACATTTTCTATATATTTATTTGTCAGATTACTTTTGGACGTCCCATAGAAATTAAAAGCACTGTTTATTTCATTTAAACATGCAGTTTATGTAATTTATGTGTAGTGCGATGCACTTCCCTACAAAATCATCACAATCCGTAACTATATTATTTTACATAATAAAACAAAACTCGTTCCTAATAAAAACTATTTAAATAATCTGATAAAATTATTTCATACTGCATAGTAATGCAAATTTTCGCACATTCAGGTTTAACGTTAGTTAAATAATGACTTAACAGCCTCACACACAAGCCTTTTGGGCAAAATGCAGTCATAAAAAGAAAATTAATTGCGGAACAGTCAAAAGTATCTGACTGGGGACCCAATAGAGTGAAACACGAACTATTCAACGAAGTTAAGCGAACACAAACCTGACACAAACCCTATGATGTCACATATGCTAGCAAAAAAGCGGTTATCATACGATTTTTCCATAGGCTTGAAGGTTGCAAATAATAAGCTATGTGTTAAAACCAGTGGTGGTAAGAGTACAAAAAAATTGTACTCAATTACAAGTACTGTTACATTGCTGAAATTGTACTCAATTACAAGTAAAAGTACTGGTGTTAAAAAGTACTCAAGTAAAAGTACAAATTACTCTTCGTAAAAACTACTCAAATTACAAAATTACAAATTACTTTTTTAGCTTGGCGATATTGGTGGAATTATCCATAAATGCGGAGTCAGACAAGATTCAGGCAGTAAAACACATTTTACATAACACATTTAAAGATACTATAAACACTTTTAAAACTGTGTAAACAGCATTAATTATAGATTATAATTATAGAGCACCTATAGAGGAAACCCACGCCAACATGGGGAGAACATGCAAACTCCACACAGAAACACCAACTCACTCAGCCAGGGCTTGAACCAACAAACTTTTTGCTTTGAGGCGATAGCAATACCCACTGCGCACCATGATTATTTTACAAAAACAATGTTTTGCTATTTTGAGTATAAAGATAACAGAAATATGCACAAATGCACGACTTTTAATCATTTCAAATGATGCCTTTCTATCTGTACGATCAATAGATGATTTAATAAATTAAAAAAACACTTGCAAATTATGGAGAAACTTTGTTAATTACCTAATTTGCGAACTGAACCGTCAGAAACCACAGAACAACACTGCCTAGTGCCTAAACATATTATTAATAAATTAAATATCACACAAATTAAGTTGTCTTCTTACCATAATGTTTTTTTTTTCAGATTATAGACTGAAGTCTTGTAAAAAAAAGGGTTTCTGCAGATATCATAATGTCAAATGTAAGACTTTTTAAGACTACGTCATATTTTTAATATTGTTCAAGATTTTAAAAATAATTATTTTTCATTATTTTATAATTTATTATGATTACAAAGTTGGGTAACGGGTGGGGCAGTGGGTAGCACTCTCGACTCAAGGCAAAAAGGTCGCTGGTTCAAGCCTTGGCAGGGTCAGTTGGCATTTCTGTGTGGAGTTTGCATGTTCTCCCCGTGTTGCGTGGGTTTGCTCAAGATGCTCCGGTTTTCCCCACAGTCTAAACACATGCATTTTAGGTGAATTACCTAAGCTAAATTGTCTGCTGTTGTAAATGAGAATGGGTTGCAGCTGGAAGGGCACAATTGCTGGATAAATTGGCGGTTCATTCCGCTGTGGCGACCCCAGATTAATAAAGGAACTAAGCCAAAAAGAAAATTAATGATTATAAAGTTTTATAACTTTTCAAGATTTTTTAAATCAAAGTTTGATGCATCACTCACTTTTGTTTATATCTCGGACAGTTCTACCTATTAAAGTTAAATATCAATGACAACAGAACATGGGTTACTCTACAATTTTTTTTTTATTCTGGCAAGAATAATAGCAAAAAAACAAAAAACATTTTTTGCCCACTCAACAATTGACACATTATTGTCTGGCTAGTTTCTGTCCTCTACTAATGAGCTGAAAAGGCAATAATGGTCAAACAATCCTGTCCATCATCACCAATAAAGCCTAGAAATTGGGCATCAGTTTACTGTAAGTCGATGAGTTCATATTGTCCAGTTATTAAATACCTTATTTGTTACTTAATTTTTGTTACATTGCTTTAACTTCAAAATGATACATCAGTGTAAAACCTATAAATGGTGGAAAAACATATTCTGTAATCTTAAAACCACCTGGGTCTCCACTTTTGCCATGGCCTCTTTTTTGTTGTAACAAACTTATCCCCCAGGTTTTTCCAAACTTTAACAAAACACTTCCTTTCCATGGCTGTTGCAATTTCTAGCCAAGAATTATTGGTCATCTGGTTATCTCTATGCTGATCACGCATGGTCGGATAGTTAAGATGTCTGTACAGTCGTACTGTTACAGACAAAATCTCTTCAAAGCGATTCAAATTCAACTCAAATCAAGCGCGGCGCCGCGCGAACTGTTCACCGGAAATCATGTCGCGCGCATCCAAAGTGAACCTCCGCAAACACGGCGATGACGTCACATTCGCCGCTCGCACTAAGCTATTGCATGCTGGTATTATTTGTAGTTTTAATACTGCAAATCACAATAGGACTAGTGAAATAAAGAACTACACCACCACGAAACCAAGCAACAACAAAAAAATTATTTAAATGAGAATTAAGAGTAGCGTCTCACGCCTTCAAACGCCAGCGCGCGTTCACTGCGTGCAGGATTGCCTTCTGATGCGCAAGTCACTTAGTAAATGAAGATAATTTATTCATGCAGCTGCTCCTACTGATGCAAATTCTGTTTTTACTTTTGATATTTGTCGCCAGTTAATCAGAAGGTGGCAATTTTGTTCTCTTTGACTTGATGGACAGAAAAGCTGCTTTATTTGCTGTCTTTTATGCGATATTCCAGTTTTGAGCATACATTTAATTAGCATTTTAGATGATAACATAGCTATTCACATCAGCGCATCTATCCCCTTTCTTCCCTATATACCTGTAGGTGAACAGCTCCTCCGGGTGTGGCCATGCATTTATCCTCTGCTATTTCTTCCTCATTTCTTCTGTCTTAAATCTCCATATGTCAATTGATAACTTTGTGACTGTATGATGACGGTCACTTAAATCTGCAGTAGCCTGAACTTGTTTTTCGGTTCAAATAATGTACCAGGATTTTCATTGGTCCGTTAAGATGAGCTTTTTTTATTGGCTACCGAAATGCTGGTCAGTGCGTGGCTGAAATATTAAATTATTTACAGTACTCTGTAACGAATTGTGATTTTAAAAGTAACGAAGTAGATTGCTCAGCTTAATTTGTACTCAAGTACAAGTAAAATTACAGGCTTAAAATTCTACTCATGAAAGTACAATTACACCAAAAATGTACTTAATTACAGTAACGTGAGTAGTTGTAATTCGTTACTCCCACCACTGGTTAAAACACAGCTCATTACACTTACAAGTTTCGTTCAGCCGGATAATCCTCACACAAAAATATAACTTTTAGCACTTTTGGATCTTAATTGCAAAAGCAAGAACTGAAAAGCTAACATTAGGCTATAAACGGACTACAGTGCCTTTGAGCGCTCGCCTGTGACGTCAGCACCACCTGGCTACAAACAACTTTTCAAGCTTATTTTGAGAAATATTTTTTATAATTTTATATAGTTTATTTTATTATAATCCACGCTTTATAATATAAACAAATAAATACGTTAAAACACATAGACCAACGTGTCTTTTGGATATTTTTTGCGTAATAAATACATTTTGTTTTGCTTTACGGTTGTTGTAAAAGTTTTGAAACTATATGTATAAACCAATGACTGTAAAAAATATGGACGACGCGACAGCCCTTTTTCCCATTGAACGCCTTGAGGGCAAAACGCCTGCTTGACGGGCACAAACTGTCGCAAAAGACTGCTGAAATTGGAGCCAGACATGCGCAGAAGGACTGTCTGATGGAGCCAGAGGAGGAGCCGCGAAAATGAGCAGAGTCGAGCTTCCAATCAAACGCTTTATGTAAAATCAACTACGCCCCCCGAACTTCTCAGCATGCGTTTGCTGTCATATCAACACAAATGGATGTAATAACGTTAACAAATATAAGGGTTTTATATATTCAATCGCGCCAGCTCCAGGCCGCAGCGCATAACTTACTCGCGGCGTCGCGGGCTGATTCCGGCTCGCATGCGGCAGCGCCTGCTCGCTCGGCCGCCGCATCTGGCTCGATTGACTCGGGCTGGAATTGGGTAGTGAGTCCAGGCATCCGGAGTAGGTCCAGCGGAGGTAACATTAGTCAGTCGGAGCTCTAAGAGATAAGTCTCCGGCAGGCGAGAATCTAGCCGAAACTGTGTTTTGCTATCTGGGTGGCTAGGCGTGTATCCACCAGGATCATGTATGTCAGAAACTATAGTTTACTGCTGAACTCATTTTGTCATGGTAAAATAACACCATGACATGGAATAATAACACTTCAGTCTCCTGCCGAAGCTCAGACGCCGCGCTTTGAGAAACTGTCAATCACAGCTGTCAATCACGATGACACGCCCAGCATTAAATTACTGCTAAAAACAAACTGTTTACAAAAATGAAGATCTGCACCTATTTCAGCACAATAACCAGTGCCTTAATCGACCAGAACTATCTTTCGGGACATTTTATTGCAAGTGTAATATTTTTTTTTTATTTGGGCTCAAGTCTCCTTCATTAACACGGAGGAGGCGGGCTTTATGACTTGTACTGCAGCCAGCCCCCAGGGGGCGATCTAACGGCCGAAACCTTCACTCAAACGTAGGCTTGCGGCACACTTGGTATAAACGTGCCTACATATTATCATAACTAAGACATTTCATAAGACATTTAAATAAGTGTATCGCTATAACAGTAACAGACGACAGAAAGTTCCTACAAGTTCCATCATGGACACAGAATATGGTGTAACAGGAACACGCAGGATCCGGCACCTCTGATATCTGATCCGGCATCCTCCTCAACTGCCCTGCCCTCTGCCCCCGTCTGCTGTTCACTTTCACTTTCCTCTGCGACTCCCATATACCCTCTTCCGCGACACCATACACACTCATTCACACACACATACACAACGGACAATTTACCAGCAGCACGTCTTTGGACTTGTGGGGAAAACCCACACGAACACAGCGAGAACATGCAAACTCCACACAGAAATGCCAACTGACCAAGCCGAGGCTCGAACTAGCGACCTTCTTGTTGTGTGGCTGTAGCAGTATTCCCCACGTAAACATTAAATAAAAGTTAAAAGGTTATTTTTTATTTCATATATTAAGTTTTTAGTTACAATACCCCCAAAATAATTCTGCATTAACCCACAGATTTTTTTTATATTTCTTTTTTACAAAAATACTTCTCAGAAAAAGCAAAAAATATCAGCAGATTCTGTCTGGCCCTGAGTAAGTGGTGGTTCATTCTGCTGTAGTGACTACTGATAAACCGGACTAAGCTGAAGGAGAGTGAGTGAGTATTGTGCCCTTTTTTTTTTAAATTGAGTGAGATTCCTTTTTTTTAAGTGAGATTTCTATGCTTGATTTAGTAGTTGCAAGATTTGGTGAGCTACAATCAGTAGGCCTACTGTGGTTATTTTCACAACACAATTCAGAAAATAAAATGCGTCTTGCAGGTTTATTCTGCATTTATGCTGGAAAATGACAGGGAAAAACACTTTGATGCCATACTGGCAGGAAAGATGCAGATACTTGTAAACATTCATCTCCATTGCATCAGCCTGCACACAGAATCTGCAGACATTTTGTTTTGCTGTTTCAGAATTTTTTAAAGAATCTTTGAAAATATGTGGAATGATTTTGGGAGTATATTAACAAAATACATGAAATTATTACATGAAATAAAGACAATTTTAAAATATTTTTTTCCTGTAATACCAAAGCTCATTTACAGTTTTTTTTACAATTGCTATGACACTTTTTTCAATACATTTAACAAGTTTCCTAAACTCTTAACACGGTTAGCACAACATCCGTCTTCATGGGCTATACAATTAACACATTTCTTGTTGTTTTGACACAAAATGCATCCAGTTAACACAAATTTAAAATGCTTGAACTACTTTTACACACAAACTCAATCAAGACCAAAACAACGTAATTTTACAGTCAAATTTACAAATACTTTCACACAGAATGTCAGAACAGATAACACCATGATCTAAACACAACTTATAGGCTAAAGTCAAAGTGAATTGTGAATTGAAACACAAATATATATTCCCTGTATTTTATTACATTGCTAGTGAGAAAAAGCTTATTGCAGTTATGTGTTTGTGTGTGTGTGTGTGTGTGTGTGTGTGTGTGTGTGTGTGTGTGTGTGTGTATATATATATATATATATACAGGCCCGTGCAGAGACTGTCCAAAGGGCATGTGCAGGATACATTTTTTGAAGAGCGGGGGGTTTGTTGTTGTTGTTGTTGTTGTTGTTGTTGTTGTTGTTGTTGTCATCGCGCGCGTACTTAAGAAGAGCGGTGTTGTCGCGCGCGTACTCAAGAGCGGTGTTATCGCGTGCCTACTGCTTCAGGACAGTAGGCACGCGACATGTGTCGCAGGGGGCACTTTTGATCATTTTGGAAGGGCACTTTCTATCCAAGACTAAAAAGGGCATGTGCACTGCACAGGTTGAGCCCTATGTGTGCACGTGCCTGTATATATATCACAGATTATTCCCATTTAGGCACCACATTCATGGTTCACTCATGGCACACTCATGTGTTGAGGTTTTACATGATCATATTACAAAAAAAAATTTCTAAAAGAGAACTCAGGAGGTTTTTGAAATTAACAGTGAGCGCAACTCCTCCACGAATTACGTCCAGGTATGGTTATGCAATACAGTGGTTACTTTACTATGCACAGTGTGTTTTGCAGTAAACTACTCTATAAACCTGGCGTTAATTTTTACATACATTAGTTATACAGTACAGTAAAGCATTTAAACTGTGTCTAATTACTTTTAGAGAGTCATGGAGTTGGAGGTCAATCAAGTCCCACATGAAATTATCTATGTTGACGAGGCTGGCTTCAACTTGGCAAAAAGGCGACGCCGTATAGGAGAAACATAATAGGCCAAAGGGCCACCGTTACCATGCTTGGCCAGAGAAGAAGTCGGGCAAATGCAGAAGACCAGGCAGAATAGAAAATTACTTTGTTTTTAAATTATAATTGCGGTGCTTTTCTGTGTGTATATCTTGCTCATAAACTGTATATAACATGCAGTAAACTGTAACTTTTTTAAAGCTACTCTAAGATGGTCGTTCATTTTTTGCATTGAATTTCTGCAGCATAAGAAACAAAATGCATGCTGTACTAAACCCAACAACACAAAAATGTAGAGAGGCTTCAAATATAAGGGCAGACCTGACACATCAAATAAAAATGCAGTTTCTGTAATGTCAGCTGATGATAGTGTTTTTATTGTCAGTGTGTATGATTGACTAAATGTTTATGTTGGAAGAGTACATGTGTTAGTGTTTTGAACAATTATTTCATTTTAAAACATGTTTACAGTGTTTTGTTAGACATGGTGTATTTTGTTCGTTTATTATTGTATTTTGAAAAGAAGTTTAGAGATTGAGTTTACATTGTGGGATTTTGAGCATGAGATTAACTGTTTTGCCAATTGTGTGTTTTAGGTGTGTTGCTGCGTTAAGAGTTTAGGAAACCTGTTAAATGTATTGAATAAAGTGTCATAGCCATTGTAAAAAACTGTAATTGAAGAAATATGTCAGAAATGGCCACTGGCAGGAATTCCCCAATAGTAAATAAAGTACAGCTAAGAACCAGTAGGTAAAATAGCTGGATAAAAAATATTAAAACACATATAAAGGTTCCAATTAGTTTCTACATTTGCTAATTTGCAGTTACCATTGTTTATAACATTTTTTTGTTCTTGGTTTGATTCAGGCATCTTAACATTGCTTGTAAAAACATTTTAAAGAAACACTTCTTAAACTTATGGAGAGATTGCTTGTTTCAAAACATTTTACCAAACATTTTTATTAACATTTTAAGAAATCGTACAATGAAGCAAACACATATTTTTGCAATCTAGAACATTTTAAATAATATCTTAATATGTTAAATAAATGCACTTATCTGTGCACAATATCCACAAAGGATAAAAGAAAAAGGAATGCAAGCAAAATAAAAATATCAGGATAGTTTAAAAGAAACAAATGTCTTATTATAATCAAATATTCAAAAGGATTTCATTAAATGCTCTACTTAGCATCTGTAAGAGTCAATATTTTGTTAAGAAACTTTTGTTTGTGAAAATAAAATTTTCTCATAGGAATAAGAAAATTTACAGTAGCTTATAGGAATTTCCTTTGGTTTTCAAAATAGCAAATCCTTGATGTGAAGCAAAACACCAAATCATCCCCATAAAATGATACCTTAAATTAAGAAATGTTCCTTTATTACAAAAGGTGCATTTATCACATCACAAATCTTATATACCTATACAAAACGAAACAAAACAAAAAAATCATTCCCAAAAAATTATAATACATTGATGGATACGGTGCAAATAGCAACATATTATATATAATATATATATATATATATATATATATATATATATATATATATATATATATATATATATATAATTATATAATATATAAAATAAATGATATATTATATATATATGTTTATAGGCCTTTGTGTGTCTGTCTGTGTGTGAAAATATATAATACAATAAATACAAAAATACATATATAACTTTTCATTTGAATTGAAAACATTTTGTGAGAGGGGACAATGCTGTACAGTACCCAAACAGTGCTTTCACACTGGCACTATTTTCTGTTTAGCCACAGCGCAGCGTGACGCTTCACATGCCGTGACCGCGTAGGGAAACTGTGACGTCGAACTCATCACCATGATATATTTGGTACATGCAGTAACAGATGATTTTTACTTGAAAATGTTTAAATGTAACTTTTACTTGATTGTCGTTTTCGATCTGCGTTTTAGGCTTACAAAAGATAGAATACAAGGAATCACGGCGCTACTTTTGTCAGTCCAAGTAAGTGCATAAACAAGGTTAGGTTGAGTTCGTGTCGATGGTTTGAGCAGGTTTGAGATTTGCAGTTATTAACGATGATGATGCATTTATAACAGTTTGAAGAATCATCATGATGCTGAATGTAGACAGTCACTGTGAGTAAGTTTTTACGTTATGTTTTTTTGTTCCTTTAACTTGACTTCGATCTGCGTTTTCAGGTAACTTAGACTTGCAAAAGAACAACAATCGACGCAAGTGTTTCAGTCCAGCCATGCACAAGTAACACAAGTGACGGTAAGTGCATTTAAGTCCTTTTATAAGTCAGAATTTATGCTATATAATCATTCTAGTTCGATATCGTGTACGTTAGAACTGCTCGCAAGATGCAGTTATTGTTAACGATGGCGATACACTTTAAACGTAAGAGTCATTTGGATGGTAAATGCAATCAATGCTAATATGTTTTAGCGTTAAAAGATATTCATTTGATGCTGTTTACTTGATTTAACCCGAGTTGAATGTGCTGTGGACAGTGAGATGCTCTAATGCGCGGCTGGCAGTGCAATGGCGCCATCTAGCGGATGCGCTGCGTACTGAACGCTTAAACTCCTTTTTTACTGAATACAGTAGAAATTATGAATTACTGTTAATCAATAATTATCAATCAATAAATAAAAGATGGAACGCTTCACGAATTTGCGTGTCATCCTTGCGCAGGGGCCATGCTAATCTTCTCTGTATCGTTCCAATTTTAGTATATGTGCTGCCGAAGCAAGCACGAGCTGGGAGTCTGGAGGACGGCTATATATACCAGTGACTTCTGGGTATGTGTTTCATGTGTGGTATATGGCTTACTTACTTATTCAACTCATTTACACTTACATGTGTCAGTAAATCACTGTGTAGTAGTAAACCTGTAAACCCTTAAATTCTTTAAAATTTGAAAACCAGCAGTTTATGTAGGTTTACCGTAGAGTTTTGGAGCTGTAAGCGTATGCGAAGGAAACAGGCCGTTTCTTTAGAGTGATTGGATGAGTTCCTGAACTTCCTGTGTGACATCGAGGAGCTTTTGTTCACGTGTCCTTCTCCTCCCCCCACAGGCATGCGCAGATCCCCCCTGCCTTGGATAAGAGCACAAAACACTCCGACAAAAGGAAGCTGCTCTCACTAGAGCAGAGCCCATGAAAACCCAGACAGACACGTGGAGGGTAAGAATACTCTAAATCTTGGAGACATGAAAAACTGAGTTCACAGCCGGCGTTGAACTCAAAGCTCTCAGCAGAACAAAGATCAAACATTCAAACTGACGTCGAGAACAAAGCCTGCCTGTCATGCAGCTACATGTGCTATGTAGCATTCTCCTGGATATCGTAGTTGTGAAATTTGTTTTTATGTTTTAAAAAGGACTATAAAAGTCATTAGTTGCACAGAGATTAGTTTGTTATGTCTTAACTATAGCTTCATAGAATCTTGCTAATAATCTGACTTTAAGTTTTTGCTTACAGCATTTATCCACAAAGCTTAAATGGATAGTTTACAGGAAAATAAAAGTGGCTCAGAAAAGTGGCCTCTTTTTGAGTTTTTTCCCCGTTGAACACACAAAAACATGCTTTGAGGAATGTTGGGAAATAGCAGCCATTGATATTCATTGTAGGAAAAAAATGCAAGTCAATGACTTCCAGCTTTATTTACTATGTCTTCTTTAAAACACCTTTATTTTATACCTAAAAAAAAATTTGAAAGAAGTGGAATGTTGAGTTTGATAGAATTTCCATTTTGTTAGTGAACTGTCTCTTTAAGTGGCTCCAACACTATGAGTTTCCTTTCTCTGGTTTAAAACCAGTACATTAGTAGGAAAAAATACAATGGAAGTCATTGGCTACTTTTTTCCCCAGCATTTTCTTAAAAAAGAAATGCTTTAACAAAAGAAGGAAACTAATAGATGCTGGAGCAAGTGGAGGGTGAGTAGGCATAGGCCGGTATAAGGTTTTGACTGTATGATAACCTTGGATAAAAATATCACAGTTTGACAGTATTGTGGTTTTTGATTTAAAATATATATATATTTTTAAATGTCTGAAACTTTTTCTCCTATTGAAATCAATATATATTATACTTTAAGGAACATTTAAAATATTTTGGAGCTGTAAATAAGCAGGATAAATAATTAAAATAAATCACCAAGTTCTGTAATTAGTTTCAAAGATTTTTTTACAACTTGAAAATGCATCTTTGGCACTGTTCAGGTCCATAGTATGCTTGTATGTAGGTGCATAAGCTACTTGTTTCTCACATGTTGTTGTGTATGGTTGATGTGTATGGTTATTTGCTGCTGGAGATATACTGCAGAAACTGTAAAACAGAAAAATGTAGCGGTTTCGAAACTGTGACTTTTTCAAACAGAGGTAAACCTTGAAACTGGTTATCATCCCATGCCTAAGGGTTAGTAACATCATGTAGCAATTGTAGAATTGATATTGAGCAATTCTGGAAAAAATGCATCACCGTTTCTACAAAAATAGCCAGCACAAATGATTTCAAGATTTAAATTAATAATAAATGTTTTGTTTACTACCAAATCAGCATATTTGAATGATTTCTGATGGATCATGTGACACTGAAGACTGGAATCATGTTAAATATGAGCCTAGGATCAAGATATAAAGTAGGTTTTAAATATATGATAACATAATTAGATTTAATAACATTGTAATAACATTTCACGGTATTATGCATTTACTGTGTTTGGATTAAATAAATACACCCTTACTGTACCTTTCTGTGAGGGGTTTATTAACTTACAGTAATAGTAGCTTGTTTCCATCTAGTGGCGTAATTAGGTTTTGCTATCACAGTGACTTAATGACTTCAAAAGGTTTTTAAACCAAGTTGGACCTTTTAAAAGAATTTTAAAAAAAAATTGAAAATTAGTCATTTTAAAAAAACCTAAATTTCACAATATTTATTTGGTGTAGTTCTGATCAAACACAAGCAGTCTTGCTGTGTATTGGTATTGAATATATTAAAACTAACCAGTCTCTCGTCTTCATTGTGGAGTAACTGTTTTCCTAGCTTTGCCATTACAAAGACTTAAATGCTTTTTTAACCTTTGTATGGTGTTCGGGTCTGTGAGACCCGTTTTCAGTTTTTTTTCAAAAGAAAAATTAAGCCATTTATTTTTTCAACCTGAAATTCATTGGCTTTAGCTTATTTTCTGTGAAGAACATAAATTTTCAAAAAGCAAATTTTCAATGACCGCATAATGTACCTCCCCCACACATTTACATTACATACAAGGTGTTCGGGTCCACTGGACCCAGGTCTAATAAAAGTCTTGAAAGTGTAGGTCCAGTGTTCCTACACAAAGTTGCAACATTGTTGAAAATTCAACTATCAACACTGTCTGCTCTTACATTCCTGCACAGTTTATCCTCTCTCTTGCGGGAACCAAGCTTTATTTTCTCATACCCTGTCCCATCTGCAGGGGCATAGTACTATAAATAAGACATTGCGGGTGTGATTCCTTATCACAACTGATCAAGATAGCCAAAAGATTATCTGCTGCGAGGGCCTTGCAATTGATTGTGGAAGAGAGAGGAGCTTCTGATGATAATGTCCATGACCATGGTGGAAACATTACGAATAAACAAATCTGTGGGTTTTATTCTTTTCATAACATAAAAAAACATTAAAAAAAAAGCGAGAAGCACATTAATCCATCAATATGATCTAACAAAGGTAAAGGGGAAAAATTAACCATGTTTGCTGTTCATATGGCTTGTAATTGGGATTAAGTAAACATTTGTTGAATAATTTAACATTAAATTGTTTGATAGTGTTAATATGGGAAGCCAAAACTCTAGGCCAGGGGTGGCTAACCCTGTTCCTGGAGAGCCACCTTCCTGCAGATTTCAGTTGCAACCCATTTCAAACACACCTGCCTGTAATTATCACGTGGTGTTCAGGTGCTAATTAATTGGTTCAGGTGTGTTTGATATGGGTAGTAACTGAAATCTGCAGGAAGGTGGCTCTCCAGGAACAGGGTTGGCCACCCCTGCTGTAGCGGGTCCATCAGACCAGTTTTTCTAGCGGGTCCATCGATCAGTTTAATCGAACACTGGCTGAGAAACAAAATACGAACACCCCACAAGGGTTAAAATATACACTATTTAATATTTAAAAGATAGATAAAAAAATTTAATTTGTAAATGTAATATCATTTCGCAATATCACTGTTTTAAAAATAAATGCACTCTTCTGTTTCGTAAAATAATTTTAAAAAGACAAGTACTTTGTCGCCATCTTGTGGCGTAATCATTAAGACTTAATAATCTTTTCACTAACATCACTCATCATATTATCACATTAAGTGTTTAATGAAATTGCAATAGCTCACAAACTGTTGACATATTGTTTTACAGCGCCACACCCAAACCTGGCTCACTTTGCCTCCTATTGGTAGCTTTGCTTAACACAATTATCACCATTGAATGACAACAACAGACAGCGGAGGGATAGCCTAAAATACACACATGCATACAGACTCAAACATTAATCAATTATCACATTATACATGTATTTATTTAAAGTATTTAAAGTAGGCCTACGTTTGACAATCGACCCCAAATGTAAAATTGTCCAAGACTCCAATAGTATCTGGATGTAGCCTTGATGATGCAAGCTGAGACTGCATATCTCCACTGAAGGCAGGCAGATAGCATTGAAAGCCGATTAATCACTATTTCTGAAACATATTCAGTAATAAAAACCATGTTCAGTTGATAAAGCGCATTAGACACCTTAAGTTGAATGTAGGAAATCCAACAGTAGGCATATAATGCATTAAACTTTTTTTTTGTTGTTGCAATAATTGCTGAAGCTTTTATCCTGAAATAATTCTCACAAGATTGACATAGACCGCAAAAAGGGATACTTTAACAGGTATAATAATTTATGTAAATGCTCAGAGCAAAAAACTTCAAACTAATTTAATAGCAAAGGGTTTATAAAGATACAATAGGTAATGTTTAACAATAAGGTCTCATTAGTAATTGTTAATGCACTATAATAACTAACATCAATAGTAAGAAATAGCTACATTTGTTACAGAAGTTTTGTTAATGTTACTTTAAAAAACACAACTGATCTGAACCATGCTTGTTCCTTATCACAATATATTGAATTATTAAACACTGGCACGTTTAACCAACAGGCAGTTAAAGTCATAAACAACATGCGAGTTTATTTCAAGTTAATTGATCGTATTTCTGCAGGTAAGACAGATGCAAACCAATCAGTAGTGCATTTGCGCGCCTCTTCCCATTCATAGCGAGGGGTGTAGCCGAAATCCCTGTGAGCCTTTTGATATGAGAAACTAAAAGGCGTGTTAAGCATGGTCAGTAGCTGCCTATTTAAGGGTGGAGTAAACGTTAGGAAGGGTCGGAGCACAACGTGCAGCAACTCCATGAAGAAAGAAAGAATATACAGGAGCGGAAAGGGCAGAATTGGCCTCTCTTGTATCCCAAAGCCTAAAGAGGACAGAACAGCATAGTTAAAGTCCGAATAGCTGACATGTGGCGTGTTGTCTGAGATGTAATAGAAGTTTCCTCCCATCATGGCCCTTTTCTGAGGATCTCTGAGTCCCCGTCCTGCTTGTAGATGTGCCAGGGCTGCGTTTCCCACATATACAGGATTCACTTTAGCCTCACGGCGTGAGGTTCGCAGCAGCACATTTCCATTGCGGATTCCATCCCTCATGTGGCCTAAAGTAAATCGGCAGCCTGGTCCAAAAATGTACATGGGCCTCAGTGCACAGGTGGCGAGCTGACCTCCATTACACAGCAGATCTCCATTGGCCTGCAGGCAAATCTCTTCGGCCTCCTTTTTGGTTTTGCTGTAGCTGAATTTAAGGCGAGAGGAGTATGGGGTGTCCTCATTGCCGTTGATGATTGGTTCACCACTGGGATTGGGACCAGCCACCTCAATGCTGCTGGTGTAAATGAAGGAGGGTACGTTTTCTTGGATGCATGTCTCAAGCAGCAGCTTTGTTGCTGTCAAAGAAAAACAAACACAAATATTTTTCTTTAGCATTCAATGGGCATATTTCAGTTGGATATTCAGTTGCATATCTCAGATCATTATCAGTTGGAGATAATGAATGGCTTTACTTGTATTTCTATTGCAAGGACCATATAGACCATTTCGATGTGGTGGTTTCACTGGCCCATGAACATTTCCTGTTGTCAAAGTATTTCGAAACTAAAAAAAGAGGCAATTTAATCATAATGTTAAACGGCAATCATAACATTATTTATCAATACGTGGACCTTTTAGGATTCTTGGACACTATGGAAATTACAAATGCAATACAGGAAATACACTAGGACCATTGTTATTGTTTACATCCCTTAAAATGGTCTATAAAATCAGAAGATTGGCTCACGCAGAAGAATAATAGAATACCTGTGCTGTGCCACTATCAAGAAATCATGCCAGACCTTTAGACTCATGACAGTCAAGGACTGACTCATCTAATTAACATGACAATTCTAATTGATTGGTTGCTTTACATATCAGTCAGACATTTTCACCCGCCTAAACCTGACAGCGAACAAAATAATTGTGTACAGTTAGTTTTGTTAGGTGTTATGTTTAGGAGAGTAAAAATATAAAGTTATTGCCTCTGTAACAGACCAGTGTGCAAAGCTCTTGTAAGTATTTTAAAGAATGTACCTTAAACCATAGGTCTCAAACTAGATTCCTGGATGGCTGCAGCTCTGCACAATTTTGCTCCAATCCTAATCACACACAGGTGATACAACTAATCAAGGTGTTCAAGACTACTAGAGACTGTTAGGCTGTTGTAAGTTAGAGGTGGTTGGAGCTAAACTGTGCAGAGCCGTGGGTCTCCAGGAACTGAGTTTGAGACCATTGTGCTTAAACCAAGGGTTTTCAACCTTTTGTATTCCACAGACCCTAATAATAATTATTACACCGTAAAAAAAAAAAAAAGTATATATATATAAAAAAAAATCCTGCAAAGATGTTAATTTTTTTTTCAGTAATATTTTAGAGTAATTACTGTAACAATCTCTCTAAATTAAGTTTGACTTTCATTTTAAGTACTTTATCATTAAAGACAAATTACTGTAATTTTTATTTTTTTATACAGGGAAATTACTTTATTATTTATATTTATATGTTATTTTAAAGTGCATTCAAAACTCCGTAAAAATTACAAACAATATCTGTAAATTAACGGCTTGACTGTTATTTTAAGTATTGCATAGTTAATGACAAATTACAATAATTTGTCTGTTTTAAACTATACAATTACACACAGTTTTTTTCCTGTTTTTTTAAGAACATTTAAAATTAGGTAAAACTAAAGTAATAGCACCTCATTATATTAAGGTTGATGCTAACAGTTTTTTTTTAATTCTTGTGATTTAAAGTTGTGAGAATTTTAATCAGTTTTATCTTGTATGTTGTTTTTTTCCAGACTTTTTTGATCCAAAATAAAACTTTTTAATTACAACCTTGAGCATGTCTTGACATTTTATTAAAAGTATTTAATCGTAATGATTTAGGGAGAATTCTGTTAAATTGTTTAGTTTTCTTTTTAACTTTTATAGTGCAGTCACTTTATAGATGTTGTTCGGTCATAATAATCTCTGAAAAGTCTGTAAAATAACAGTTTCTTTGTAAAACTCTTATTGTGTAACTATTGAATGAATTTGATCGTAATAATCTAGGAAAAGTCTGTAAAATAAAAGTGTTTTTCTGTAAACGTTTTACTGAAAATATCTGTAGATTTATTATTTTTGCACTTTATTTCAACAATGAAATTTTTTCCATAATTTTATGATTTTTCTTTGGCAGCCATAGCCGCCAGTCATTTGACCTTTTTTTAACGATTTTTTTACAGTGTACATTATTATTTGCAAAATTTCCACTTATTTATTTGTTTTCACAAAGCTCTATCTTATAAAAAACAGCTGTTTATGGTGCTGCTGGTTTAAAGAGATTTCAATATATATATATATATATATATATATTTTTTTTTTTTTTTTTTCTGGAAATTCAAAAATCATTTGCAGTAAAATTCAAATTTATTGCAAAAATAATACATGCAAAATAGTAATATTAAATGTATCAGGACTGGCAAATAAAGATTGTACTTTGTACATTTTTTTTCAGACTCAAATATAAAACCCAAGTTTTAAATGAGCCCATCAGGCAGAGAGAGCAGTGTCTCTGTGCAATCTCAAACTTTCTTCTGAAATGAGCATTTTTCTCAGCCATATGTTTATGTTCAGTAATTTTCCTTAAAGGCAAAATAACCTATTTATCGCCATGTTGTAATATTATTATTATTATTATTATTATCGGAATCTGTCTTTTGAAATCATTTTCCTCCTTATACAGTGCTCAGAATAACTGAGTACACCCTATTTTGAAAATGAATATTTTTCCCCATTTATCAGTGAATATAGGCAAGGTATTTTAGTGCAACAAAACAGATTTATTAAACAGATATAATTATTCAAATAATATTTTAGTAACAACATAATACAATTAAGTTCAAGAAAAATATTGCAAGAATAAATAACAATCTACAAAATTTCAACAATTTTTCATATTTTTGCTTCTCTTGATTTTTCCTCGTTTTTAAATTTGTATTTAAAATTTTTCTCTAACATATAAACTGTGTACTAGTTTTTGGACTTTTATGGTAAGTTATTTTGTTAGATTTGGCTTCAGTACTGACTAATCTAATGTATATGCACACATATAATATTGTGCAGCCTCCTATTAAAAATATGAATTTAAAAGAGAGATTTGTGAAGGGTGTACTTTTATATGCTGAGCACTGTATCTCAATTGGTTTCATTTTTATGTGCTAAACACACTTACCTTTGACATTAACTCCATACAGTTCACTGTATTCAACTGCTCCAATGACATCAATGAGAGACGCAGTGTGAAAAACAAGCGCTGCTCCTTTACAAGCTCTCCTCAGCAGCTCAGGATTCCTGATATCGCCCTCGAAAACACTCACTTTAGTCTCTCCCCGGCAATCTGAGCACACAGAGAAACAGCAGATTCACAGTAATGTATGTTTTGCCCTAATTCATGCTTTAAAATGAGAAGATAGTGCCTTATGAATGGCTTACATCAACTACATTCTTTATTTTTACTGTGAGGCGACAGTGCTAACCAATTGAGCCGCTGTGTATATACTAATGAAATAGATATTGATGGGGTCACATTTTGTCTTCAAATCTATCCCAGAAAGGATCAATGTTTATGCTTTTCTCATTACTTTATTAATATTATTATTTGAATCAGTATTTAATCCTGAAATGGTTTTGACTAATGAATAAAGTTAACACATTGCTTCATATAAGAATGTTCAGTGCATTTGCCCCTCTCTTTGTAACTTTGGGAGCCACCAAACTCAAAACCAAAAGGGCTTGATGATATACGTATTTGTATTGCTGTGTGTAAATAAGTGATTTTGATATTATTATTATCATGTGTTCATTATTATGTGTAACATTAACTCTGTTTATAGTGGTTTTGTAGTGAGAATATACAAAACTGCTCCTGAATGTAGATTATACTGGTTTTTAACCAGTTTTGATAAAGATGGCTGAGAGTATACTTAGTTTTGGGTAAGGAACAGATTGTACTTTGGGTGTGTGTGTGTGTTTTATTTGATTGTAGATCTTTTCAGAGTACTGGGGTCAGCTCTAAACAGCCTAGGGGCTGTCTGACGTTGAATGCTTGAGATATTGAGATTTTGTTCAGAGTTGTACGCACGCACCCATGTGGAACTCAGGTTAAAACACCTATCTATGACGCATTTAATGCTGTTATGTAAGAGTATAATTGTTGTTGATTTGTGATCGTAAGCAAAGCAGTAAGCAGTAAGCAGACGAGTGTTGAAGCTGGCTTCTGCTGAGGAAACTATCTTCAGTAAACTTTATTTATTCGAATCTCTGACTCCTCTTCATCTTACAGACTGGTGATTTTTGGGTTCAAACTGTAATTATCCCTTCAATATATTAATATTAATTAACTATTATTATCAGTATTATATCAATCACCCATCATAACACACATAATATTACATTTATTATTAACTAGTCAGATGATCTACAACCAGTGTTTCAAACTCCAAATCATTCAAAATATTCTTAAATGTAATGAGGTCAACTTCTTAATCTGAAACTTAATTTGCCAGTTGCTCTATGAAAAAGCTGCTGCATATTCAATTGCCTTCCCCCAAAAAATTTTGTACACACCGCTTGTACAGACAATAAATAAAAAAAATTGATAGATGAGAAAATACTGGGCAACCCTTTACAATAAGGTTCATTAGTTGATGCATTTACTAACATGAACTAATCATGAACAACACTTGTACAGCATTTATTAATCATAATTGAACATTTACTAATGCATTATTAACATTCAAGTCCATGCTTGTTAACATTAGTTAATGCACCATGAGTTACCATGAACTAACAATGAACAACTGTATTTTCATTAACTAACGTTTATTAACATGAATATATACTGTAGTGAATGTATTGTTCAATGTTTGTTCATGTTAGTAAATGCATTACTTAAAATTAACTAACGAACCTTATTGTAAAGTGTGACCAAATACTGTGATGGAAATATCCACTAACCATCAAGAGACTGTATTAGCTCAGAGCGGATGTTTCTATCCAGCAGTCGGATCTCAGCAAGCTTCTCCTCCTTCAGCAACAGTCGAACCAGCCTTTCTCCAAGAAACCCGCAGGCTCCTGTCACCACACACACTTCTCCTGAAAGAGCCATGGAAACTGCCAGCAATGCCAATTCACTGCTGGGTTTTGCCACTCTGATGGAATTGTTCGAGTGAGCAGGGACTGGAGAACTCAGAGGTGTAACAAGTCCTCAGAAGCTGGAGCAGACTAGAGGGCGGTGTGTTTTTAAGGCTTGCTATCTGCCAAGGACAGTCTCAATGCCAACAGTGTTGGGAATCAGTGTCAAGGTGCGAGTCAGCACTCGGCTTATTTTTATGGTCCTGTTTTTGTAAAGACAGCCATTGAAATCCACCATATTGATTTTTTTTTTTCATGGTGTCACATATTATTAAACAGACATAATTTGAAATACAAAATGGTTGTGGGACCTTAAAATAAACTCTGCTCCTCAAACACTTGCACTTGCTATTAAAAGAAACTTGCTCTGACTTTCTATTACTAACATTATTTCATTTATTCATCATTTTATTCTGTCAAAAAGAGAGAGAGAGAGAGAGAGAGGGTGTGTTTGTGTGTGTGTTTGTGTGTGTACCTTGTATTCCTCACATTCAGGCCCGGCGCCAGGAAGTTCAAACTGAGGGGGCACTTTAAATCCATATTGGGGCACTAGACCTGGGGCCTCATGTACGAAGACTTGCGTGGAAATCTTACTAAAACATTGCGTACGCACAAAGCTGTAAATGTGCGTACGCAGAAAAAAATTCAGGGGCCTCATGTATCAACGCTGCGTACGCACAAAAACTTTGCGTACGCCAGGTTTCACGCTCAGAATCGCTCACGTTTGGATTTACTAACAATGAACTGAACGTGGGAATGTGCGCACCTTCACGGCAGCTTTCTGGCAGGCGTACGCACATTTTTTGTGCGTGTCTGTTTTATTTCCATTGGCGACTCCTAGAGGCAGTTGTATTAAATTCTTCTCTACAAAGTGTCTGAGCCTTGCAATGGCAGCTGTATGAGACGGGTTCATATAGTAGGTATGTAAGATTTCCATACCATACAGTTGACCAGCTAAACATTAAAGCACAATTTGCAGCGGTCGCCTGTTTTCCCAATGTAATCTGAGCGATCTACTGCACGCACATTGCTATAAAGACACTATCTGAAGATAAATTTGCATGCGTGAATCAGAAACATTTCCATTCAATAAATGTGCAAATAAAATATGATGCACAAACTTATTAATGATTCCTACTTGTCTTTCTCGTGATAAATAGTGGGCAAAATCTGATATGTAGCGGGGAAAAAAAGAAGAAAGAATTCATCAGACGCTGGATTCGAACCGAGTTTGTGCTCGAACGAGTCAGCATATGATCATATGCTTCTTATGAGGTGCGCCACTGAGACTGCTAAGGGTACTGCAACAGTTTACAGATATAAACCACACTATTTCTTTTTTAAATGCACTCAGTGCGATGTTCAGACCCAACTGTGTTAACCGTATCAGCTAAACTCTCCCACTCTATTTTTTTCTTTTGTTGTTAATTCCGGAGAACAAACTTGCAAATAACACCGCTTTTCTCCGTTCTACCTCCGAAAGCAGCACCTCCAATTCACATTCTGTTCAAAGTTTCTCTTTTTGTTTGATTTTGCCGTTGCTTTTTCGTTGGGTTTTGCCATTAGCATAGTCATTAGCATATTCATACGGGGGAGGAGGCAGGGAGGGGTTTTGCGCTCGTGCATGTTGCGCTCAGTTTCACGTTCATTCGGATGTACAAAAGAATATGCGTGAGATTCGGCGTACGCAGTGTTTCATACATCTGAATTTTTTTCTGCGTACGCACATTTACAGCTTTGTGCGTACGCAATGTTTTAGTAAGATTTCCACGCAAGTCTTCGTACATGAGGCCCCAGGGGCCTCATGTATCAACGCTGCGTACGCACAAAAACTTTGCGTACGCCAGGTTTCACGCTCAGAATCGCTCACGTTTGGATTTACTAACAATGAACTGAACGTGGGAATGTGCGCAACTTCACGGCAGCTTTCTGGCAGGCGTACGCACATTTTTTGTGCGTGTCTGTTTTATTTCCATTGGCGACTCCTAGAGGCAGTTGTGTTAAATTCCTCTACAAAGTGTCTGAGCCTTGCAATGGCAGCTGTATGAGACGGGTTCAGCAGGTATATAAGGTTTCCATACCATACAGTTGACCAGCTAAACATTAAAGCACAATTTGCAGCGGTCGCCTGTTTTCCCAATGTAATCTGAGCGATCTACCGCACGCACATTGCTATAAAGACACTATCTGAAGATGAATTTGCATGCGTGAATCAGAAACATTTCCATTCAATATTATTATATCTGTAAAATGTTGCAGCACCCTGAACAGTCTCAGTGGCGCGCTCGTAAGACACATGTGAACATGTTTTGACACGTTCGAGCATGAACTCGGCTCGAATCCAGCGTCTGATGAACTCTTTCTTCTTTTTTCCCCCGCTACATATCAGATTTTGCCTACTATTTATCACGAGAAAGACTAGTAGGAATCATTAATAAGTTTGTGCATCATATTTTATTTGCACATTTATTGAATGGAAATGTTTCTGATTCACGCATGCAAATTCATCTTCAGATAGTGTCTTTATAGCAATGTGCGTGCAGTAGATAGCTCAGATTACATCGGGAAAACAGGCGACCGCTGCAAATTGTGCTTTAATGTTTAGCTGGTCAACTGTATGGTATGGAAATCTTACATACCTATCTGAAGATGAATTTGCATGCGTGAATCAGAAACATTTCCATTCAATAAATGTGCAAATAAAATATGATGCTTATTGATATGAATTTATTAATGATTCCTACTTGTCTTTCTCGTGATAAATAGTTGACAAAATCTGATATGTAGCGGGGGAAAAACAAGAAAGAGTTTATCAGACGCTGGATTCGAGCCGAGTTCCTGCTCGAACGTATCAATTCCTGATCACATGGGTCTTACGAGTAGCGCCACTGAGACTGTTACCAATCCTGCAACATTTTACAGATATAAACCACAATATTTCTTTTTTCAATGCACTCAGTGCGATGTTCAGACCCAACTGTGTTAACCGCATCAGCTAAACTCTCCCGCTCTATTTATTTCTTTTATTGTTAATTCCGGAGAACAAACTTGCAAATAACACCGCTTTTCTCCGGTCTACCTCTGAAAGCACCTCCAATTCACATTCTGCTCAAAGTTTCTCTTTTTGCTTGATTTTGCCGTTGCTTTTGCCATTAGCATAGTCATTAGCATATTCATACGGGGGAGGAGGCAGGGAGGGGTTTTGTGCTCGTGCATGTTGCGCTCAGTTTCACGTTCATTCAGATGTACAAAAGAATATGCGTGAGATTCGGCGTACGCAGTGTTTCATACATCTGAATTTTTTTCTGCGTACGCACATTTACAGCTTTGTGCGTACGCAATGTTTTAGTAAGATTTCCACGCAAGTCTTCGTACATGAGGCCCCAGGGGCCTCATGTATCAACGCTGCGTACGCACAAAAACTTTGCGTACGCCAGGTTTCACGCTCAGAATTGCTCACGTTTGGATTTACTAACAATGAACTGAACGTGGGAATGTGCGCACCTTCACGGCAGCTTTCTGGCAGGCGTACGCACATTTTTTGTGCGTGTCTGTTTTATTTCCATTGGCGACTCCTAGAGGCAGTTGTGTTAAATTCTTCTCTACAAAGTGTCTGATCCTTGCAATGGCGTCTGTATGAGACGGGTTCATATAGTAGGTATGTAAGATTTCCATACCATACAGTTGACCAGCTAAACATTAAAGCACAATTTGCAGCGGTCGCCTGTTTTCCCAATGTAATCTGAGCTATCTACTGCACGCACATTGCTATAAAGACACTATCTGAAGATGAATTTGCATGCGTGAATCAGAAACATTTCCATTCAATAAATGTGCAAATAAAATATGATGCACAAACTTATTGATGATTCCTACTTGTCTTTCTCGTGATAAATAGTGGGCAAAATCTGATATGTAGCGGGGAAAAAAAAGAAGAATGAATTCATCAGACGCTGGATTCGAGCCGAGTTATGCTCGAACGTGTCAGTACATGATCACATGCTTCTTATGAGGTGCGCCACTGAGACTGCGAAGGGTATTGCAACATTTTACAGATATAAACCACACTATTTCTTTTTTAAATGCACTCAGTGCGATGTTCAGACCCAACTGTGTTAACCGTATCAGCTAAACTCTCCCACTCTATTTTTTTTCTTTTGTTGTTAATTCCGCCGAACAAACTTGCAAATAACACCGCTTTTCTCCGGTCTACCTCCGAAAGCAGCACCTCCATTTCACATTCTGTTCAAAGTTTCTCTTTTTGCTTGCTTTTGCCATTGCTTTTTCGTTGGGTTTTTACATTAGCATAGTCATTAGCATATTCATACGGGGGAGGAGGCAGGGAGGGGTTTTGTGCTCGTGCATGTTGCGCTCAGTTTCACGTTCATTCGGATGTACAAAAGAATATGCGTGAGACTCGGCGTACGCAGTGTTTCATACATCTGAATTTTTTTCTGCGTACGCACATTTACAGCTTTGTGCGTACGCAATGTTTTAGTAAGATTTCCACGCAAGTCTTCGTACATGAGGCCCCAGATGTATGAAACACTGCGTACGCCGAATCTCACGCATATTCTTTTGTACATCTGAATGAACGTGAAACTGAGCGCAACATGCACGAGCACAAAACCCCTCCCTGCCTCCTCCCCCGTATGAATATGCTAATGACTATGCTAATGGAAAAACTCAACGAAAAAGCAAAGGCAAAACCAAGCAAAAAGAGAAACTTTGAACAGAATGTGAATTGGAGGTGCTGCTTTCGGAGGCAGACCGGAGAAAAGCGGTGTTATTTGCAAGTTTGTTCTCTGGAATTAACAACAAAAGAGAAAAATAGAGTGGGAGAGTTTAGCTGATACGGTTAACACAGTTGGGTCTGAACATCGCACTGAGTGCATTTAAGAAAGAAATAGTGTGGTTTATATCTATAAAATGTTGCACTACCTTTAGTAGTCTCAGTGGCGCAGCTCATACGACGCATGTGATCATAAACTGACACGTTCGAGCTTAAACTCGGTTCGAATCCAGCGTCTGATGAATTCTTTCTTCTTTTTTTTCCCGCTACATATCAGATTTTGCCCACTATTTATCACGAGAAAGACAAGTAGGAATCATTAATAAGTTTGTGCATCATATTTTATTTGCACATTTATTGAATGGAAATGTTTCTGATTCACGCATGCAAATTTATCTTCAGATAGTGTCTTTATAGCAATGTGCGTGCAGTAGATCGCTCAGATTACATTGGGAAAACAGGCGACCGCTGCAAATTGTGCTTTAATGTTTAGCTGGTCAACTGTATGGTATGGAAATCTTACATACCTGCTAGATGAACCTGTCTCATACAGCTGCCATTGCAAGGATC